AAATGCAGTGGTTGCCTCTCATTTTAAATGGAAAGAGCACAGACAAAGCCTTAGTTTGTTTATATGAAGATATTTATTTTATTTGTGTTATTTATTTGATTTGGGGCTTGTTTTAAAATTTCAATTTAGTTTTGTTAACAAAATTTAAATATAATGTAAATGTAAATATTTAGCAAACGCTTTTATCCAAGAAATCGTGAATCGAATCGAATCGTGAAATCAAAATCGTGAATCGAATCGTGAGTTGAGTGAATCGTTACATCCCTATAATTAACATTTGTTTATGTTGTCGAATAACAAAAAATGTTATTTCAGTAGCACAGGCTTTGGGTTTTTGGCTTTTGTTAAATGTTAAATTAATAAAATCTTTGAATATTTGGTTTAATATTGCATTTATTTAACAAAAAATTTATTTTCTAAAATTACATGCTAATTTATTAAATTTAGTCAAGGTATATTCATTATTTTACTCAACGTAAAACGTTTTTTCAAAAGCAGTGCTGATTTATCATTACTTATGTCCTATAACAGTATTTAGAAATACTTGAATAAGATTAGATTTTTATTTTTTCTGTTTTCATTTTAGTATTTGTGCTTTTGTCAGTTTTATTCATGTTTTATTTCTATGTACTGTAGCTTAAATTTGTTTTTATTTCAGTATTTTTATTTGTATTTCAGTTTTAGTAAGTAGTTTTTCCTTTTTTTCGGTTTCTGTTTTTTTTTCTGTTTTATTTCTATACATTTTTTATTTCAAATACCGAAAGAAAAAAATTTTTTAGTTAACATTTATGCATTTGGCAGACACTTATCCAAAGCGACTTCAAGGTACACATTTGATAAATTCCTGTTTTTTACTGGGAATCGAACCCATGATCTTGGCATTGCTTGGGCCATGCTCTAATGTTAACAATAACAACACTGTTCAAAAGACAAAAACTGAATGAAATAAAAATGAATACTTAAAATATATTTGAATAGAAAAATTATTGTAAACTAAAAAGTCAAAATTACATTAGAATATTACAATATTACTGTTAACACTTTATTTTAAAGACCAATACTCACTATTAACTAGTTGCTTATTCGCATGCATATTACTATTATTATAACATTACATATTGGCTGTTCATTAGTATGCGCTTTATAAGTACTAATGCCTTATTCTGCATGGAGCGGCCAAACCTGTGTGCCACAAGCAGAATGTGGCTGCTTCTATCGGGGACGCTATTATAACAAACACCAGATGTTTTACGCCCATGAGCAATGCTTAGAGCGCTGTGTGTGTGGGCGAAATGGAACTGTTTCCTGCCAGAAATCAAGTTGTGCTCCAGGAGAAGCTTGCAGGGTGGTGGATGGAGTATTGGGATGCCACCCTGTCAGTTATGGAAGATGTGTGGCGACTGGTGACCCTCACTATTTTTCTTTTGATGGCAGATTTTTTGACTTTCAAGGCACATGGGTTTATACACTCGCTAAGGTATGTGATCGGGCTGAAGGACAGCTGGTGAATTTTTCTGTGGACACACAGAATGAGCAGATTGGAAACCGAAGAGTTTCTGGCATCAAGAACTTGACTGTGACTGTTTACAACCTGACAATTAGCATCAGACGAGGTGAACACTGGAGAGTCATCGTAAGTCTTCATCTAGTCTGGCCTCAAAGATTTTTTTTTAAATGTACAACAGTTTCAACAAAAATATTTAGCAGTTTAAAATGTTTTCAACATTGATAATATAAGAAATCTTTCTTAAATAGTGTACAAAAAAGGAAAAAATGTACATTTTAAAATATATTCAAATAGATTTTTTTTTTTAAATGGTAAAAACTTTTCAACATTGATAATATATAATAATATAAAAAAAATGTTTCTTGAGCAGCAAATAAGACTATTAGAAAAAAAGGAAAAAATAAGTTTTAAAATATATTTGAATAGAAAAATTTTTGTAAACTAAAAAGTCAAAATTACATTAGAATATTACAATATTACTGTTAACATTTTATTTTAAAGACCACTACTCACTATTAACTAGTTGCTTATTCGCATGCATATTACTATTATTATAACATTACATATTGGCTGTTTATTAGTATGCACTTTATAAGTACTAATGCCTTATTCTGCATGACCATATTTCAGATCCCTTAATCTGACTCCAACCTAAACTTAACAACTACCTTACTAACTATTGATAAGAAGCAAATTAGGAGTTTGTTCAGGGAAAACTCTTAGTTAATAGTGAATATGTATTCCATATTCTAAAGTGTTACCGTTTTTGCTGTATTTTTTATCATTTAAATGCAATAAATGCAGCTTTGGTGAGCATAAAAGACTTCTTTCAAAAACATAAAAAACACAGACATAAAAAAACATTGTGAAAAAAAATAATAATAATTACTGACCCCAAACTTTTGAATGGTAGTTGTTACATATTATAAAAGAATGTGTATGTAAAAATTAAGATAATGTATTCAAAGATGATTAACAAAGAACCAATATGAAAGAATTGAAAAAAAGAAAGTAAAAATAAAGTGTAAAGAATGTTCTGTATGTTATGCTGGTTCCACTTTTTTTCCAATTTTAATGAAAGAAAAATTATGCTGAAATCATATTTGCTGTTGGTTCTCTTTGACAGGTGAACAATGAATTTGTCACCCTCCCTTCATCTTTTGGCCATCAAGTCACCATTAACCGGGTTGGTCAAAGTGTCCGAGTTCAAACCGATTTTGGCTTGAGAGTTCTGTATGATGCCAGTTACCACGCAGAAGTCCATGTACCCTCAAACTATCAAGGCCACATGTGTGGATTGTGTGGAAACTACAATGGCAACCCAGCAGATGACTTCTTGTTGCCCAATGGCACACAAAGCACCAGTGTCAATGCATTCGGACAGGCGTGGGCATTGCCAGCAACTGGTGTTCAGAGCGGAGGTGCAAGTTCCCCGCAGCAGTGCGATCAGACCAAAGCTGAGAGTTACCGCAGAGGTGATGCCTGTGGCCTTATGGCAGCTGTCACTGGTCCCTTCAGTGCCTGTCATGATCGAGTGAATCCTGAGCAACATGTGATTAACTGTGTATTTGACATGTGTGTTATGGATGGAGACGGAGCGATGCTGTGTGAAAACCTTCAGGCTTATGCCATTATCTGCCAACAAGCCGGGATACAAATCATGCCATGGAGAAATAGTTCATTCTGTCGTAAGTTTGTAAATCTGTTCTTCTGTTTCTCGTTGCTTTTAAGTTATGTATTATAATAATTTTGCTTCATATATACACCGGTGGCCAAAAGTTTGGAATAATTTAGATTTTTTAATTATTATTTTCTGTTGTGGTCACCAAGGCTGCATTTATTTCAGCAAAAATATAATATTGTGAAATATTATTACAATTTAAAATAACTTTTATATTTTAATATATTTTGAAATGTAATTTATTCCTGCAATGCAAAGCTGAATTTTCAGCATCATTACTCTAGTCTACAGTGTCACATGATCCTTCAGAAATCCTACTAATATGCAGAATTGATGCTTAAGAAACTTGTATTATTATTAATGTTAAAAACAGTTTTTCGACTTAACATTTTTGTGGAAACCGTGATACATTTTTTTTTAGGATTCTTTGATTTAAGAGGAAGTTCATTAAACAGCATATATATGAAATAGAATTTATGTAACATTATAAATGTCTTTATTGACACTTTTGATTAATTGTATACATCCTTGCTGAATAAAAGTATTAATTTTTATCGTACTTGTTTCTTGAGCATAAAAAAAAAGCATATTAGAATGATTTCTGAAGGATCATGTTACACTGAAGTAATGGCTGCTGAAAATTCAGCTTTACATCACAGAAGCAAATTACATTTAAAATACAAAAATATAAAATGTTTACAATACATAAAATATAATAAAAATAGAAAAGTTATTTTAAAGTGTGATAATATTTTACTGCTTTTAGTGTTTATTTTTTTTTATTTAAATAAATGCAGACTTGGTGAGCATGAGATTATTCAAAATACAAAAAAAGACCCCAATCTTTTGAATGTTAGTGTATATACTATATAACTTTTTTTAAATTATGACAATTACCTGATGCATGTTATTTTATATGTATTTTTGCATTTTCTTTTTTTTAAGTGGTGGACTGTCCAGCAAACAGTCACTATGCACAGTGCTCTAATAACTGTGCCAACACCTGTGCCAGCCTCAGTGGCTCCGTTAACAACTGCCCAGATATTTGCATGGAAGGCTGTCAGTGTGATGAAGGTTGGCTCTCAGATGGTGACGCGTGTGTGCCTGTGGGAGACTGTGGATGTGTCCATAATGGCAAATACCTAAAGGTGAGATTGAATGCTTCTCATACATCAAGTGATTGTTACTGTGTCTGATAAGAGCTTCTCATATACTTTTCAGAGCTGCTTATCCTCAGATTTTTCCTAAAATGATGATTTCAGCCATTAGAAACTTCTACAGTTTGCATTGCAAGAGTGCAATATTTTCTCTACTCTTTCCACTTAGGTTGGCGAAGTCTTAGTGACTGACACCTGCAACATGAAGTGTGTGTGTCGTGCCACTGGGCTGCTTGAGTGTGTGAGCCAAACCTGTGCCAGAGGAGAGATCTGTGAAGTTCGGGATGGTCAACGAGATTGTTACACTGATCAAGGCCACTGTGTATTTGATGCCAATGACCAGTTGCAGTCCTTTGATGGTGTGATGGGGACGGTGGAGCGGCCGGGAGCCTTTCAAATGGCTTTCTTATGTGATCAAGACTCTCCTGACTGGTTCCGTGTGGTGTTAGATGTACATGCATGTGCTAGGAATGATTCCGGTAATGTGACAATGGTCCACGTCTTCTTCCAGGACATGATCATTACGGTCAACAATCGGTGGCACAGCTGGGTCAGTGGAAAAAAATATTTTAAGATTCTATAGTATTTCTTCTCTACATCAACAACTGTTAAAATATTTGATTTGACACAAAGAAACTGTTGAAAACATATTTTTCTCATTCTCTCAACAGGTCAATGGAAAGAAGATCTCATATCCCTTTATGCCTAAAGAGGGGGTGTCAGTCTCATACACAAATGAGGCTGTGGTCATTGAGAAGGTGTCTACCATGAGACTGACTTACTCTGGCACTGGAGAGGTTGTGTTATCCATAAGCGCAGTCCTGACAGACCAGGTTTGTGGTGCCTGTGGCAACTTTAATGGAGTTACTGCAGATGATATGACGACTTCTGATGGGAGAAACTCCACTATGATGTCTCTAGTTGCATCATCCTGGCACGCTGAAGACTTCTTTACATGGTAATTACTTGATGTATTATTGTTGTTTGCTTATGACATCTGTGCTAGTTTAGACACCTTAAAGCCATTACACAGGATATACTGTAACTAATGCCTTCATCATATGGACATTGCAAAAAAAATCACATTGATCGCATTCCATTAAATGTTAACCTATTTTTTCGCATATGCTTTTATTACAGTGATGTGTAACAAAACTGGGAGGAAGATTTTGCTACTACAGGTGATTTTCATCTAATAGAGGAATTGTAAATTGTATTTAATTGCACATTGGGGCTTAGAATGATGCTTTGGTGTAAAATTAAAGATTTCTGCATACATACTCGGTATGTTTTTAGTCAGCTCTTATTACTGCACTTTTATGATTTGTGATTAAGCACATTAAAATACACATCTGAAATCTACCTCCAAAATTTGTCATCTTTTTTCCATCTTGATTATGACTATGTACACAAAGCCCCAGTAGATGGCAGCAAATAGCAATTCCTTACTTGAGCATCCTGGTTTTCAAAACGCCATCCTACTTGCAACCTTTCAGCCTATTAAGTAGTCCTGCTGGATGAAAGTCACATAACTTATTTAATATTCATGAGCAAATGTTTGGTCAATTTCGGAGTTAACTCTTTTAAACCATTTTAAGTTTGCCACCACTGCAAGAGTGAGTATCACGGCTTATGTTTCTTTGTAAGTGTAATGTGATTTCTGTGCACTCTGGATTTTTTTTTTATGAATTGATTTTATACTTTAGGGTGATTACAGTTAGACTTTATTTAAATTAGATATTAAAATATACTATAGATATTATTTAAAATTAAGTCACAAAAAAGTCACATGTATGTTATGATTTACTTTTAGTTTTATATACGAGCAATATCACAGGAGTAGCAGTGCGATATGTCTGTATATCAGCACGGCTGTGATTCAGCCATAGGTCAGTGATTCTCAAAGTTTCCTGGGAACCCCCAACCACTGCACATTTTGTATGTCTCCCTCATAGGCCACACCCAGTTCAAGTCTTGCAGACTACTAAATCAGGGAGACATACATGTGGTTGGGGATCCCCAGGACAGCTTTAAGAACCACTGCCTTATTACCACAGCATGCTGATATACAGCTATATCGCACAGCTACGAGTGTGATATTGCGTTTATACAACAGTTTGATGGCACAAATGTAAATAAAAAAGAGACAACAACGGAGTGTCTTTAAAACCCTATTTTGTGAGGAACAATCTTGTTCAAGTCTCAAGTTTGACAGTTTAACAGTTGAGCCCAAGACTCCATTACTAATTCGAAAATGTCACTTTAGAACTAGTAACTAAGGAACGTTGAGCTGCTTCAATGAAAGCGTATTGTATTACTGTATTAAGTCAAGTCAAGTCAAGTCTGCTTTATTGCGTGGGGCAAAAGAGGGGAGGGGGGGCAAGGTCGGGAGGGAGTTCACTGTATTATGTAAAGTATTATGAGAGAGAGATGGACTGAGCGAGTGTAGTTACCTGCATCTGATACAGCATTCATTTTTCAGCTCAACCTCACATTAATAAAACATTACTTTGAATGTCCGCTGAGGAAAGCGATATCTTTGGCGTTTCATCTGTTAAGGGTGATTTCTGATGACAGTGCTGCTCACTGCATTTGTTTGCTACATCTTACAAGGTGTTGTTGAAAGTAGAAATCTTTCAATATAAAATCTCTTTCAATATAAAAGTCTTTACTGCTGACTCACTCATAAAAACAGTCTCTTGTCGCCATCTAACGGCGGAACAATGTAACTAATCAACATCACGAAGACACATAGCCTTTCTCAATACTAAATACTATTATTAAATACTACTATTTATATAAAATATTATTTAAATAATAATAACATTTAATAAACAACAACAGCCATCATAAAAGTTGCTAAGCTATTCAGGCAAAAGTACAAAGTCAGCCTGATATACAGCATTAAAGTTATATAAAATATAACATTATGAAACTTTGCCCTCAGCCAAAACTATTTGCTCTCGACCAAATAATAGATTAATGAGACCAAAGACTGCCTGTTAGATTTACCAAAAACAAATTATAGCTCATGTTTAACCACATCAGACATCAGAGCCAGGGGCAGATTCCAGAAGAACTGGCCAAGGAAAGGCTGCTCTCGTCAGGTTCATAAGTGCTAAACGGCCGCTGACACCCTGAAGCTCAAATCTCTGAAAATGTTGAAGCACAAATTTTCAAATAGACATTATCTTTATTAACAAACTGCATATCTAAAGTCTAAACAACTATACATTCTCACCCAAAAAACCTAAAATAGACTACATTCTGTGACAAAAACAGTAATTTTTTTTTATTTTATTTTTTTTATATATATATATATATAGTGGATTTGGGCATCTGCCATGACATTTGCTGTGAGAAATACTGCAAGCAGAGTGATACAAACAGTAAAACGGTTGGAGTTCTGTTATCACTAGAATATTGCATGGCTGGAAAAGGCTCTCAGCTTATCAGATTTGAGGAACAAAAAGAACGTGTGTGTGTGTGTACTGCATTCCCAATAAAGATAAAAAATAAAAGAAGTTCATTTCAAGATCCTTCATAAAATATATCCTATATATATATATATAGTGTGATGTGTATTTGTCTTTGTTTTTCCTCTAGAGGTTATATCTGTTATGTCTTTTATGTAATTGTTTATTGTTTGATGGATAATAATAATATAAAAAAGGTTAGAGATCGCAAACCCGGACCAATCAGCTGTGAGCAAAGTGACGCACACTCAATAAAGCCACTCCCCTTGAATCTCTTGCTTCAAATTAGCAGTTTGCAATGAAAGAATTTTAGAGGCAAAATTGCCCCGACTTTTGCTGTTAATTATTTATTATATTTACATTAGACCTATACGAATTATAATTATTTATAATTCATATAATATATCTGTATAATTATTATATGAGTTAATATTAAACTTTGCATTTAAATTAATTTCAATATATACATATTTATTATAAGTATTATTATATAAAGTTTTAAAATGACTAAACTTGTTTTCTTTTGAGCTTTTTGTGAAACTATATAAATGATTAAATTCTTTGATCTGCATAGTCAGATATTTTCTTTCCACTGCCTTCTCAAACTTTCGCTGCAGTAGCAGTGTACATTCCTGTCTTGTAAATGTATTTAAATTCATTATATTTTTACTCTTTGGGGGGGGTCCCAGGTCATGCTCCCTCATAAGGTTTATTTATTTATTTGTTTGCTTATATGTTTATTTTTGTAAAATGATATTTTGTGCTACACTGTAAAACCCAGTAAGTTCAGAATACTAAATTTTTGTGGACACCGATTACCTAATAAATTTTAAGTAAACCAACTCAAAATTTTTAAGTAAACAATATTTATAAATTACAATTAATCCAAACTTGAGTTTCTCTTTAATTTTATTTAATATTTGAGTACACTATACTTAAAAGTACTGTTTACCCTAAGTAATGTTTTTAGTTTACCCAGACTCAATTATTTTGATGCAAAAATACTTAATTTCATAGAAATACTATAACACACACACACACAAAAAACTACAAATACAACATTAGCTAAAGAATTGAATTATTTATTCAGCCTTACAACTTTTAAAACCTTGTGACTCATTAAGAAATCAGGACATACGTGTCACAGTACATCTCTTACAGCAATGCATCAAACTGAAAGTGACATTGAAAATAAAATAAAAAAATATAATAAAAATGATCAAACAAAAAATATATAGGCCATATATAATATTAAAAAAGGACATCAAGTCTATCCCATTGAAGACTTACAAAAACATCCAGAAATACTATAATTTATTATCGTAAAAGGCACATCTCAATTTAAGATTCAGATCAACAAGTTATACGATTTAAAGTGCAACTATGAAAAACTGAGGTAGAGTTGGAGGGCAAAACATAATATACAAAATGTAAACTTTCATTCAAATACTTTAAACAACAAACCAGTTATTATACTCGGCATCACAAACATGCAAATGTATGAACACAGACACATGCATGTGCCTACATACAAGTCTTAACGTGTCCTACACATTCTATATAAAATAGATCATTTTTGAGACCGAGTAGGTAGGGTTTCAGTGGCTTGCCATCATCAAGACCCATCAGTACTTGAAGCTAAAAGTAAGAGAGAGTTTCTTGGGGTAGTCTAAATGCAATGCATAGATCAACCCAAACAACAATACAAATGCATCGGCAAACCTGGGGATATCACTCATCACAACATCATCTTCAACCACAATAGGTGCAGGTAGCTTGCAGGATTTAAATGAACCGGACATGCAGTGCCTCTGTTGACCACCATGACAGTCTGTGATGTCTGGTTCACCTGACTCTTCCCTCTGGAAGCAGCATAGAGGTTTAAGTTTAACTTAGTACAACAGAAGTAGACAATAGCATTTATATTGAAGAAGAGTACTGCACGTCACTGCTCAACAGGCAATTATATAGGTAGGTATTTCACAAGTGAATATTCTTGCAATGTATATACAATTTAAATGCTAGATACAGTACCTGCCAAAAGTTTGAAACATTTTAATGCTTTTGAAAGAAGTTTCTTTTGCTCATCAAGGCTGTACTTATTTAATCCAAATACAATTTTAATAAGTAATATTGTGAAAATTACAAAAAAAAAACAAAAGCATTTTTCTATGTGACTGTTTTAAAATGCAAATTATTCCTGTAATGGCAAAGCTGAATTTTCAGCATCATTACTACAGTCTTCAGTGTCACATGATCTTCAGAAATCCTACTAATATGCAGAATTGATACTTAAGAAACTTGTATTATTATTAATGTTAAAAACAGTTTTTCGACTTAACATTTTTGTGGAAACCGTGATACATTTTTTTTTTAGGATTCTTTGATTTAAGAGGAAGTTCATTAAACAGCATATATATGAAATAGAATTTATGTAACATTATAAATGTCTTTATTGACACTTTTGATTAATTGTATACATCCTTGCTGAATAAAAGTATTAATTTAATGCATCAACATTAACCCCAACCCTTTTTCAACATTGATAATATTAAAACATTTTTCTTATAGGGATAGTTCACCAAAAATCTCACACTTAAGTTGTAAGTCTGTATGAGTTTCTTTGTTCTGCTGAACATAAAATATATTTTGAAGAATGTTGGTAACATTTTATGGGTCCCCATTGACTTATTCAACAGTATTTTGTTTTTCATAATATGGAATCAAATTTTGGGAACCAAAATTGTTTGGTTAACAACATTCTTCAAAATATATTTTTGTGTGTATGTGTGTGTCACATACAAGAAACTCGTACAGGTTTATGACAACTTGAGTGTGAATAAATGATGACAATATTTATTTTAGGGTGAACTATCCTTT